GTGGCGGAGGAGCGGGTGACAGACGGTGAGGGCTGGAGGTGCGACAGCGTGGGTCGACCGACCGGCGTAAAGCTTGGGCTTTGGCCGACGACGGCCGACTTGGTGACCCAAACTTATTCCGGTGGACGGTGGATGCTCAGGTTGTGATATATACGGACTACGGCGCGCGGATGCGCCGGCGAGGGATGTGGCGGCAGGTGGTGTTGCGGTGGCGGGTTGGTGGCGTGTGTGTTCAAGTATATTCAGAGATATACAAGCGATATTCAGAGACACTACTTGGACTGGTAGATAGATACAAGCGAGAGAGATATACAGAGATGGAAAGAGAGAAACAGTGAGAGAGAGAGAGAGAGAGATTTGACCGATAATGGTGTGTGTGGGACCCATTGTCATGTGTGGTAAATGTGTAATGTCCATATTGTCCTTAATTATTGGCCAAATGTGTTTATTTGACCATAATGTATGTCAATTTACCGTATTGCCATTAATGATTGACTAATTTTTGACTTGATCATAACCATTTATATGATAGATCCAGCGGTACTAATTCATTCTTATTTCTTTCACTATCTACCATTCTCATATGATCCATTCTCTATACTAGTACGAATCCCGTGCGATGCACGGGTAAGAGATCTTCATTAGTATTTATAAATTAAAAATGATTATTAGATAATATTTATAAATTAAAAATTTTGAATCAATATGTAATACGTTTACCTATATTAATTTATTGAAAATATTATATAAATTTCATATCGTGCAAAATTACATAAAATATGTCAATTTAATTAGTATACAACCTGGTGCACGTAACTGATAATAAATCACATTATATTTATTTTAAAATAAGTGTCATTTTAAAATATTTATTCAAAAATTCGATTGGACTACAATGTGATTCCATAAAATAATTCTTTTGGTAAAATTTTATCATATATTTAAAAATCTATGTGAATAATAAGTACAATTATAAAACTTATAGTGTTCATTAATTAAAATGAATTTAATTTTGTATAAACTATCAAAATAAAAAAATTTAAGTTGTTGAGTAATTTATTAAACTATAATTAATTGACTATTTCATTTATGCCTAAGTTAATATTGACACGTAAGTTATGAATAATTATTTATTTGACTTTTAAATTTGAAACCCAAATTTGAACTATACGATAAATTTCCTTATATATATATTCCCTTATATATAAATTCCCTTATATACATATTATCTCACAATTTTCTAGAGTTGTTGTCGGTTAATTTTTAAATTTTATTAACCAATATTTGTTCAAAGATGTTTATAATTTTCAAGAGGAATACATACCATTTTGTCAAATTATCATTAGAATTTTTTGGCAAGTTATTATAGAAATATGCTAAATTTTGAGAAACATATTACCTTGATTTTAATCAACCTAAAATTCGACTTTCATACCCATAAAAGAAAAATCATTTTTCAATATCTTTTTGTTCGAAAAAGATACATTTATCCTTTAAAAGAGTTGGATTGCGTAGAGTTTTCATGGTGTTTTGCTTGATGAGTCTCATGATTTCATATCAATACATAATATCTATTTGTTCTTTATGTTTTGCTTGATTTTTTGATGAGTGGGGATACAATAACAATTCAGAGTGTGTATGTTATTTATAGGCAAATTAAGTGTTAATTTAATAGGTGAAAAAAAATATCTCGATATTAAATGATTGGAGCGTTAGAATGATATTATCTAAAGATTTGAAATGATATTCGCGTACATTATTAAAATTTGGAATGATTTGATATTTGTCCATCAAATTAAACAAAAATTATATTTGGTAATATCTCTTTATTTTAGTATAAAAAAATAAATGGGCTCACTTATGCTTTTTTTTCCTAGGGTTGTGATATTAATCATAAGCTTAGCCATTTCAAAATCTTTTTAGATTAATAGTTTAGTTATCCACAAATTTATCAAATAAGTGTTTGATGAAGATTTATCAAAATCTTTTTAGATTAGTAGTTAGTTATCCACAGATTCCATCATGAGTTATCCACAAATTATTGTTCCAATATTATCTCTACACCATCTATATATATTGAAAAAGAGAGGTCAATAAATCCTTTTGGGAAAGTTTTAAAAAATTGGTCAACAACCCCATTGACTTTCCATTTGTAGAAACTAATTTAAAAATCTTTTCAAAATATATGGTTTTTTTTTTCCTGTTTTTTAGAGATGGATATATATTATATCCATCCCTAAAATCATGGTATTTAAAATCTATCCAAATATCATCCCAAAAATCCTTTTAAAACAATTTTTTACTAATTAACATATATTTAAATACAAATGGTGATATCACGTTAATTTTTTACTAATTAACATATATTTAGGGATGGATATTATCATCCCAAAAATCCTTTCAAAATCGTTTTATTAACATATATTTAGGGATGGATATACTTTAACGTGATAAGATAATTATGCATCCCAAAAATCATGGTATTTAAAATCTATCCAAATACAATCCATAATTATCTTATCACTTTTGTTAATAAAAAATTGTACCCATTACAATTCATCATTCACGAGTTCAGAGAAAAAAAAATACAGAGAATAATTTTTCATCGCATATACAATATAATGCTTCCAGGCTGGGGTAAACTTGATATATAATGCTTCCAGACTAGGTACCTTAACAAAAGAAACAAACCTTTTTTTGCGTCTGAGAGCAGTCCGCATTATTGAAACCCATCACGAACGGGAGAGCTATAACGCATTTTCATGATGAACAGGTAATATTTACCTTTTTTATTTCAATTTTATATAATTTAGAAAATTATTTTAATTAATATTTATAACAAACCTTTTTTGCGTCTGAGAGCAGTCCGCATTATTGAAACCATCACGAACAGGAGAGTTGTAACGCATTTTCATGATGAACAGGTAATATTTACCTTTGTTATTTTAATTTTATATAATTTAGAAAATTATTTTAATTAATATTTATAACAAAGCATTATTGAAACCATCACGAACAGGAGAGTTGTAACGCATTTTCATGATGAACAGGTAATATTCGCATTTTCATGATGAACAAGTAATATTTACCTTTGTTATTTCAATTTTATATAATTTAGAAAATTATTTTAATTAATATTTATAACAAACCTTTTTTGCGTCTGAGAGCAGTCCTCATTATTGAAACTCATCACGAGCAGGCTGGGGTACACTTGATATAAAATGCTTCCAGACTGGGGTACGTTAACAAAAGAAACAAACCTTTTTTTCGTCTGAGAGCAGTCCGCATTATTGAAACCCACGGGAGAGCTATAACGCATTTTCATGATGAACAGGTAATATTTACCTTTGTTATTTCAATTTTATATAATTTAGAAAATTATTTTAATTAATATTTATAACAAACCTTTTTTTGCGTCTGAGAGCAGTCCGCATTATTGAAACCAAGCAGTCCGCATTATTCAAACACATCACGAATGAGAGAGCTGTAACGCATTTTCATGATGAACAGATAATATTTACCTTTGTTATTTCAATTTTATATAATTTAGAAAATTATTTTAATTAATATTTATAACAAACCTTTTTTGTGTCTGAGAGCAGTCCGCATTATTGAAACCCATCACGAACGGGAGAGCTGTAACGCATTTTCACGATGAACAGGTAATATTTACCTTTGTTATTTCAATTTTATATAATTTAGAAAATTATTTTAATTACTATTTATAAATTTGTATCGTAGGTGCTTTCATTAAATGCATAATACATTATCCGAATATGAGAGCAACAAACTTTATATAAACTGAGAGCAGTCTAATTTTTGTAAAATATGTAAACTTTAAACGTATTTTATATATAAAATTTTATATACTTTTAAACATGTTAGTTGGGCAAATTTTAAGGATATATATATATGTGTGTGCTAACTTTAAGTATATATATTTTTCTTATAAAATAGTCTAGACAAAATTGAGGTAATTTCACATTTTTCAATAATAATATAAAATATTTTAATACTTTCACATATGTTATATAATAGTCTGCGTATTCTTAATGTCTTTTGGTTGTAACACTGTTAACACATATAATATTAGATACTTTTACACATATTTAGATATTTTTTTTACTCATTCTTTAATATCTATGTGCATAAAAAGAGAATAAGATTTATAAAAAATTTTCCGGCAATATACTAAATGTTAGATAAAAATCTCATTTTATTTGTTATATAATATTTCGAGTTGCATTAATTTTGATTTGTATGTGTAAAATTGATAAATTAAGCGTATGAAAAGGAACGTACGAATTACTGTAAAGATTTAAAAAATAAAAAATAAATCTAATTTTTGAATATTTTCTAAACGAATTTATGTCATAATTCGTCATAATTTCCCACATCATGTCAATATTTATTTTATCTATACTAGGTAAAGGTAAATCATTATCTCAATATTTATTCTATATATTCTAAGTAAATCTTCTCATCTATCTCAACGGTCCGCAGGTAGTATTTCATACTTTTCTATTCATAATCAAATATACCAAACCTTCACAAATTTTACTTCACAAAGAAAGTGTTCAATAATTTATATTTTTTTTCCTTCTTTGCAATCCATTTATTTTTATTACATATATATAAATTATATCATTTTTAATATTTCACACGTTAAACATTTCAGGAAAATATACCATCCCGTGCATCGCACGGGTACTGTACTAGTTAATTTTGAATTCAAATTGTGAGTAAAAAAAAAACTACACTATTATTGTTTTCAAGCTTTCTATAAATAGAATGTCAAAGGTATTATTTATTTGGTCAAAAATTTTCAAAAATGATTTAACCAACAACCTTTTTATATATAGATAGATATATATATATATAGATTTTATTTTATTACTAGGTTAGTTGTGTAATTTCGCCGTCATTTGTACATCTGAATTTTACCATTAGGCCCAAATCAATCAGGGTCCAAGTTCATTGCACGCTCCGTTGACGGTCATAAAAAAGAAACCAATGCGCATGTTGTGCTATGCTGCGCCGCCTTTGAGTACAGCAGCGTGTAATTTTAATTCAGATATACACACGTACATACATAATTACGCATCATTTTCTACTGGGAAAGATTTTCAGAGTTATTCGGTCTCCTCGCGTTACTAAAGCTCCTCTCTTTTTTCTCTGTCTCTGTGGGGAAGAAAAGTAAGAAAGGAGATAATATTTCTGGTGTGTGTTTCTTGGGCTCTGATCTTTTCTTCCCCACAAAGTAAAATTCGGTGATTTCTGGAAAACATGCCTCGTACTTCATCATCGAGAAAAGGGACCACAAACACGACTGCCTCCGGCAATTCATCGGATCTTTACCGTGCAGGTTCGATTTTGTTATTTATTTAATCGTATCGAAATTCGAACTTTGGATTTCCTTTAATTTTCCATTTATGTATGGGAATTCTTTTTGTAACTTTTAGCACTTCTCTAGGAAGACAAATTCGATCTTTATGTGTTTATTTAAGGTATAGGTTTTATCTCTACCTTTTTGTGAGAACTATGCTATCTAGTTTTTTCATTAAACGTGCTAAGATTGTGAATCAGGTACACTGGATTTTAGACAATTTTAACTTCTGCCGTAACATTGAATGATCTTTTTCCTCATTATTGCTGAGTATAATATCTCTTTGAGAATTTTGTTGTATACTTGTAAGTCAGTGATGATTGCTGGGTATAAATATCTCTTAGTGAATTTGGTTGTATAGTTGTAAGACAGTGAAATGATATTTATGTTGGAATGTGAAAGAATTGCATAGTAAGACAGTTCGTGATAATATGAATTTGCTTTGTGCGGATTGGATAGTGAACTTACCGAGTTCTTGACATGTTAGGGGTGAAAAAAGAATGGACTAGAACACGTGAAAATCATGAGATAGTTCTTGAAAACACGTGAGGTCCACTTCATAGCACTTTGAGTTATGCTGCTCTCCCGCTTCCATGACATTTTATGAATTCTTATCAACTTTGTCTTATTTGTTTTCTTCTGCGTTTTTTCTTTTCGGTATACAATTCTTCAATTAAAATGTCGGATGCAGCGGATGCTTCTAAGAAAAGGAAAATATGTTACTGGTATAGGCCATTGGAATGAATGGTGGCAATATATATAATATATTTTTGTTTATACAATGAGCTTGGATAATCTAATCCTAATTAAACATGGAAAACAACAATTAGAGAAGAAAAAATTGTAGATATTGACTCTTTCTTTAGCTTATATATCTATTTTTCTTTGTTTTTTTTTTTCCTTCAGCTTCTGGTAAAGCAGCTTCCAAAGAGCTGGAGAGAATTGATCAACTTTTCTATTCATATGCTGACAATTCCACTGCTATGATCGAGTAAGTGTTGTCCATTTTACAATGATTCATACTCTTGTTTACGTTATTATGTCCTCATGCTATTTCTGTTCTATGCTTGAGCAATGGACTCAAGTTTCACAGCACTATATATTTACCTTAAATCTCCATTTTGGTCTTGAATTTAAGTGAAGAAAACTTAAAATGGCATTGTTACATTAATCAGTTTATCGATAAATTTCTACTCCTGATCTTTTGGTAAAGCTTTGCTGAAAAGAAATTGAAGTTGGATGATATTTTGTTTGGAAAAAGTATGCTTAATCAGTTTCACTTCTTTCTTTCTTTTTTCTTAAAAAAAGAAAAGAAAATTATCCATGTAATTACTGAACTGTACTACAGTTGCTGCTTGTCGTCTGATACTGTCCTTTCTATCCTACCCCCTTTTCTTCTGGTCATCTGTTTATTCCTTCTCTGTTTTGTGATATTTTTGAATCGGAAAGGGCAATTTAATGCAAGATCACAGGGAAAGCTATTTTCCTATTTAAGGCGAAATTAGTTTAGTTTTTGGTTTTGGTTAGTGGTGAAAGCATTTCTGTTTCTGGCTACTCAAGTCTTACCATTATGGAATTTGGTTTTTACACAACATGACTTAGCCATTAATGTTATTAAGTCCGTAGATGCGTGCTAAATCATTTTCATCGAATTACATGATTGGTTTATAGTCACTGTTACGGTAATTTTTTGTACATTAGTCTTTCAGTGTTCCTGATAATTGACTGGGGTGTCTAATCTGGAATCTTTCTTGAGCAGTCCAGAAGGAATTGAGTCCATCTGCTCAGATTTGAATGTTGATCACACCGATGTCCGATTGTTAATGCTTGCTTGGTGAGTCAGTTTTTCATTTCCCTTATCAACAATTTATATATACATATATGTATGTATGCATTCGGTGTTGGAAAGTCACTATGGCGATTTTTGGGTTACTAGGAAAATGCAAGCAGAGAGACAAGGTTACTTCACCCTGGTAAGAGTGGTATAATGAATCTTGTATCGACTTTTTTTATATTAATTATGTATTAAGAGTACTTGATCTATTCGAATCTGCGCTCTAGTCTTTTAATGTCCTTAAATTGTAAGGTGATGCTCCTTTTCCTTGATCTTAATATCTTTAGCTCTCATTCAAGTTAATGTGAATAATCATTTTGATGAATCTAATGTTCAGTTCTCATTCAAGTAGATTGAAAAATCTTTGTCATTTGGGAAAAAGGAAAAAATAAATGGATTGTCCTCTCAAAGGTAGGGTAAAGTGGTGTTTGTAAACACTTGAAGAAGAATACTATTGTAAATTGTTAGTAAGAAAGAAATGTTTTTACTGTTTCAAATGCTTTAGAATTCTTTTTGTTCTTATGGGAGAGTTCTGATGTCCATTTCCTTTTCGAAGTAGATACAAATATTAGACAACATATAACTGTGTNTATGCAAGCATTTCTTGAGTCTTGACTTTGTTACAATTTAACATGCGCATGACCTATTCTGTGTCTGGCAGACTCTTTCACAAAGACTAGAATCTACAATTTTAATTTAATTCTAGGAATATTGAGCAATTAATATTTATGACAAACGGGTCATGAAGTACTGCGAGGTTTTGATTTTAATGGGTACCCAACAAATTTTCATCTCAGTTTTATCTTGTTTGTATTGTTCTTCTCCCTTTTTTGTTTATGCAAGTGTGTCTTTATAAAGAACATATCCATGTTTAAATATTTAAACTCATGACCTATATTGTTAGGATGAGTGGCGAACTGGCCTTAAAGCACTTAGAGCTGATACAATACCGAAATTAAAGAAGTCTCTCGTGGATCTCGAGAAAGAGGTGCAGTTGTTTATGACTTTCTTCTACATTTCAAAATTGGAATAACGAGTTCCACAGTTTCATTGCAATTGGATTAGTAGTGTTTTTTAGTTAATTTGCTCCTATTTTTTGTGTGAAAAGGTCCGAAGGCCATCCAACTTTGTCGACTTCTACTCCTATGCCTTCAGATATTGCTTGACTGGTACCTTTGATAGACCCTTCATGACTAATTTTGGGTTACTTTTGAAAGTAGTTTTGAGAATCTGTCTAATTGCACGGGAAAACCCTTACTGCTTTTCAAGATTACTTATGCCCACTCCTTATATGTTACAATTTGTACCCTGGATGGGTATTTTTGTAATATATTGCAATACCTTGAAGGGTTGGTTGTAATCTTCAAAGATGTTTGAGTTTATCTGCATTTAGGCTGAATTCTCAGGGTTTGATATTCTAGTTGTCCCCTTAATTTGGAGGCTTTAGTACTTTTTTCTGCTGCTTACGAGGTTTGTATTTTGTATTTATTTATTTATTTTCTAGAGGAGAAGCAGAAGAGCATAGACATTGAAAGTATATGCATCCTTCTGGATCTTGTTTTGGGCTCACAATTTCGCAGTCAAGTTGATTCCCTTAATCAGTATCTCAAGGTTTGCATTTTATTACCTGCTTATCAGTTTATTTACTTATACTCATATTTAAAATGAATTACTCATGCACTTGTCATTTAAGATTTCTTAGCGGCCTTTTGGGCTCAGCGTTGTTTAACTTGTGTACTTAAATGAAATTAGCTTACAATATGTGTTATGTTCGTGCGACTTCAATTTTCTATTTAGAAATGTGTTTTTGACTGTGGCTTTTGATTTTAGTAACCAAGTTTATGTATTTATGTTGGTATATTGTGTGGAAATAACTATTTTTATCTCCAAAAGTGTGAAAAGCTGGCCCGTCACATTAGGGAGTTACTAGTATGAACCTGCTCAACCAAAGTTAGTTCGACCCAGTGCTTTAGTTATGTCCTAGTTGATCCTGATTCGACATAAGAGCCTTAAACACACTTAGTGCATTATTCTGAATTCACGTTTTGTCAATAAGATCCATTTTCTTCGGCTTGCTTCATTCTGCCCTCAAAATCTTCCTTTGTTCAATTTCTCTCCCTTTTCGGATTGTATCTCCGAGTTTACTTTCCTATTAAATAGAAAATAAAATTTTCTCTTAAAAAAAATCATTGTTGCCAAGCGTGAGAGAATGCTAGAGGAAAGCATTTTTGCTCGTGTTAGTTTGTTCCTTTTGCCCGGACATAAAAGTAATTAAAAAATAAAAGAGATGAGGTTTATGGTCCATACATTGAAAACAAAGTAGTGTTGTAAGTTGTATTGTGATACTACCTAACCATTAAGTGGGTTGACTCCTCATACCACTGAAAAAGTTGCATATGTATGTTGTGGAATGTTATACTTTATGTTGTTTTTAAAATGAAATTTTAGTTTGAAAGTATTAATAATTGTTGAAAAAATATGGTTGTCGAAACATTAGTCGAACCGTTAGGCCCTGCCTAACAATAACTTCAATGACTTAACACATTCTTTATATGCAAATTGGCTTGCAAAATAATTTTATTTTGAACTCTTACCTATCAAATTTGCATAGCAGAACGGAATTGAGTTTTATCCCTTTCTTGTAGTTGTTAGGAATAATATGCTGTAACTTTGAAAATATTTGTGTAACTTAACAATTATATATCAGTTTTAATAAAATTGAGAATTTGATGGAGGGGACAGATAAGAATCAGAATTTAGATTCAAAAACACTATATTATTTCTAACTCTGAAGTCAATTGGTGCACATTTTACACATTCACACACATTTGAAAAGATAACATCTCATTTCTCTATCGCATTTACATCCTTTGGATCTATCTCAATAGATGAATGTGATCCATCCCTATTTACTCATTTTAAGAATGATTTTCATTGGGTATATATATCATATAAGTCCATTGCAAATGGAGCTGGAAGAGTCATTGTTGACAATTCTCCTGGCATAGTGCTAATAATGGACTAGATCAAAATGATTCAATTAAATTCTAGTGCTTCTTCTATTAGTGAAGTTTCTAGAAAAAAAAAATATCAAACGGCGCAATGCACCTTGGGTGGCTACGGAAACAGCTTCCTTGTATAATTACAACTTGTATAATTACAAGGGTAAGGTCTGCGTACAACTGACTCCCAGACTCCAACCTAATCTGTTGGGAATATACTGGGTATGTTGTTGTATAAAAGTCGCTAGTCGTTTGCAAGGCAGGAATAGTCGGGGCCTGATAGTCATAAAAATATCAATGAAGTTATCTATATTTTTTTCAACATAATATGTAAGTTACATTGTATACAATATTATGATTTTAAAATAAAATAAAAAAAAAAAATAGCGCTTAAGCACTGTGTAGTTAGTAGCCCAAGTAACTTCACATCCGCCTGACCCCCCTAGACGGCACCTAGAAGCACTTACTATATATTAAAGCGTGAATTTTTATTGATTATATATTACTTTGAGATCCGGACATACGATATGGAATACTCATTAGATGTGCAATTTGTGTGATGACAGATACAAATTGATTACAAAGTCATCAACAAGGATCAGTGGATGGGGTTCTACCGGTTCTGCCATGAGGTATTTTTCTTTTCTCCTTTAAAGGATCAGTTTTTCAATACCATGAAAAAGAAAAAGAAAAAAAAAAAGAATGAAAAGAAATGAAGTTTACTGCTATTGACTTTCTTATTTATTAAAGATCCTGGTACCCAAAGTTCTGGAAATTTTTTCTTAACCTACATAATTTATATACAGAGCTATTGATTATTTTTCACGGATTAATACAAATAATTCCCTTGAAGATTCGTTTGTATTTCACAACCTGCAAAGTCAAGGATTTGTGTGTTTGGATGTATGCAATTCTATAGATATCATGATTAGTCAAGGATGATATGAATTAGGGATGTTTCTGCCATTTTTAAGCCTTTTAAGATATCAAACAGTTCATTGAGAAGCTTGTATTATGTGAACGTTTAACAGGTGAGTTTTCCAGATCTCAGCAATTACGACCCAGATCTTGCTTGGCCGTTGATTCTTGACAATTTTGTTGACTGGCTGAGATCTAAACGGGGCTAAAGTCCAGACGAGCCATGTTTGTACTCGGTACAAAATATAGTAAAATATATTTTTGTTATCTTGCACTTTACGTTTTTGATTGAATGTCAGTACTGACAGAAATTGAACTATACGGCTTGGTTTCTATTTTTCTTTCTATCTTTCAATTTTTTAATTGAATAGACAATCCTGTTTTCCATTTCCAGCTTTTGAAATTGGCGTTTGTTATTTTCGATTGTAATAAAAGCTGAGAAATAGACATGAACTAAGGTTATATCCGGCATCGGTATTGTATGAACAGAATCCTTTCTTAGTTTCCAGTGTAGATATGCAATATATCATGCGATCTTTACATTTTGCCTAGTTAGCCTTAAAGAAATTTGAATGATAACAGATCGAGTTCATATAATTTTTCTCGTCTGTGCCCAAATTCTCCATCTTTGGAATTTACACTTTGTATCTAATGTGATGTGTTGCAGGTTGTGGAGAATGAGGATTTATGCAAATGCCTATAAGAATAGCAGTTTTTAATCTTGAACAAGTTGTTATGAATCAAAATGAAGTTTGAATAAAAAGTTACAGAAATCCGAAGCTAAATAAGATTTCAATGTTTGTATATTATACTGTGTTTGTTTCTTTACCAGTTGGTACAAAATCTGGGGCCCTTTGCAGATATAGTAAGCTAAAAGACACAAGTTAGGAGACAAAATAAGTCTTGGTGTTGGTATATGAAGAAAAAGTAGTCTTGGACATGAAGACAAAAGTGGTTACAACTTACAACAGAAATACATAAAACCTTTTTAGAGCATATACTCTTCTAGCCCTAGTGAAAAAAATCTGGCCATGATTTTAATAAAATGCTGTGCTATGTTTTCTGTTATTTTGTTATTCACAGAGCTAAGAACAACGTCTGAGTTATATAGTAGAACTCTCGAGAGTTGCTAGCAACTTTTTTTTTTTTAATCTTTTAATGGAGTGAAGTTTGATTGCCGTTTACCTAAGTGTAATCTAAGAAATTGCTTAAAATGAAGTTATAGGGTATAGTTGACGAAATGGGACACTTTATGATTCAATATAATAATATTGAAAGTTGTTTGCAGCCAATAATTTGACTTGGTGTTTTCTTGATGAAATATTATTCTCCCAACTGGCAGTCACTTCGCAAACATGTCCTGTAAAACTTATCACCAAACTTTAGAAAAGATGATGTTCATGTAAAATGCACGGAAACAATATTAAATTAATAATATTATAAATAGACCTCAAGTTTGAGTCACTCAATGACGGCAGTAGAAATTACTATTGTTCCTATTTAAAAAGAGGAAGCAAAAAAAATAATTATAAATTAAAGAGGAGGATAAACAATACTTAATAATTATAAATTAAAAATTCGGGGTCAAACAATGTAAAATTATTTTGTATAAGAGAATATAAAAAAATTTGATTACACACCATTTCAAAATTATTATTATACTTTTTTGTATGGTTAGCTTATAATATTTGTAAAAATATTAGTAATTAGACCGATTAGCTTATAATATTTGTAAAAATATTAGTAATTAGACTGATGAAAATTAGCTTCTTAAAGTAGATAATAGATTTCCAGTAGTAATTATGAATTAGTTTCTATTTTATTTTATTTTTTCTTTTTAAAAATAATGAATTTCTAGGAGTAATTATGAATTGGTTTCTATTTTATTTTATTTTTTTAAATCTTTATAGATAAGGGATGAGATTTTTTAAACACGTGAGATCGTATGCAATGGGATTTTGTAACAGAAGAGATAAGCGTGTAGATTTATACTAAAAATAGGAAAAAGAAAAACAAATATTTATTGTCAAACAACGGTTTTGATAAACTAAAAAAAATGAGCCGATTTTTTTCCCTATTCAGATTTGTCCAACAATTATTATATTAGGATATATTTAATGATTTTGGCGGGAAAAAGTTTCTAAATTTGTAAAAAGGTTATTCTTTTTATATAATGATAGATCTCTCTTTTCTTGTACCTACTAAACATACTAAAATCAAAGCAAAGGCAATGACGGAAAACTTTTCATATTCCTTTTCTCCATTTCACCACTCTTCACTCCAATTTTACGCTCGCCACCAACTATTGTGGAGTTAATTGTCGTCGGAATAATGCACTTGCATAAAACGCCTAAAAAACAAGGGAAAAAACAGAAGAAGAAAATTCTTATAAATTGAAGTTACAATAATTTGAATTGTGGTCCTACAAAGCATTATTTTTGTCCAATTTCTCGGGGAGTAATAGTTGTCATTAAACTCATGAATTCTAAGAAAAAAAAAACATATTAATGTGAAATGAGAAGCAGATTTTAGGTACCAATTCTAGCGAGACGATTGACCCAATTTGGGATTGGATTTCCAGTGAGTTTAATGCAGGCATCATTGCAGAAATGATTGCAATTCTTGGAGATTAGATTATAAGAATTTCCTCTGTATTTGTGAGCAAGTTGCTCCATTGTTTTAGTAACCTCTCCTGGGGACAAATCCGTCCAACCAATCAGAATTGACTTTCTGAATGTGAACCCATCACACTGTTTTGGCTCTCCCTCAAAAATCCCAGTTGTCGAGTACTCGTGGGCTCCAAATGCATATTCCACTCCATGAACTGATTTTTAAAATACAATTTCAACAATTTAGCCTTTATATATATATATATATATATATATATATATATATATATATATATTTAAGAAATGTGTATTATTACAATACCATATTGTACACTATTTTGTATCCAAACTAAATCAATCAAGTATTAAGTCAAATATAGAATCTTTTCATATACAAGTCCTGTGAATATTCCAGTTAAATTCCACCTCACAAAGTGCTTCATAACATAACATAAAATAAAATAAAATAAACATTTGTATTTTGCAAACTTTTGCAGAACTAATGTCGATCCGTAGAATAGAGCGGCGTATTAAAGAAATTTTTCATATGGCGTATTCGAACTTCATATGCACCTCTAATTCCAGTAAAAAAAGAAAAAAAAAAAAGCAAACCAAGAAGACATGGAGTGAAATTTAGTATTCCCCTATTTTTCTGTGTTAAGAATATGGAGAATAAAAAAATAAAATTAAATTCTACCCAATTCCTGGGTTGGCCAACAAGCATCAAACTAACACTGACTAGTGACTTCTTATAAGTTTCAAATTTTAATGATGAAAAGAAAAATATATTAATTAAGAAAATGTGAGAAAGAGATTAATGAGTACATAATTTTACCTTCAACAGCAGAATGATAAACACCAAGGCCCAACCAATAAGCATAACCATTGATGGAAGTGAGATCATACACATTCAGGTTTACCTGAGCCGATCCATGCCTGCTTTTAACCGAGCTTTTCCGGCATAACATTGCAAAAGAGCTGTAGCTTTCTATTATTCTTTAAAATGAATTTATATTGCAAGCCCCGAAAGTTTCTTAGATGTAAAGTTAAAGAAGAGTGAACTCAAAATTTCAAAGCTAAAAACTTTGAAGGATCAATTAACCTTTGACGGGCCTCATATATAGAAATTTGAGACCGTTTATTTTGGTGCGTGTGTATAGTAATTTGTTGGGAAAAAAAATATTATAAATTTGGAACTAAAGTTTGGAATATGAGCTAGTGTGATATTCCAATTCTATTTTAATTTGGAAAAACATTATATCTCCCCAACTAAGTAACATCTATTAATATTCATGTCTAGTAAAAATTGCACCTGACTTCTTATTCTTTTCCAAATGTATAAATCTGTCACGATTTTTTTTTCTTCTTAATTTATTGCACCATCTTTTAATTTATGCAAAACGAAGCACGTATTTTGCATGGTGGTCTGGTCGCAATATGACGTTGTAATGAAAATTTGATATGCTTTTATAGATAAATACAATAATTATATTCAAACTAATTTTCAACCGACCAAATGAATATAGGGAACTACAAAAAAAAAAAAAATGAATATAGGGGACTAATATCTCTATTAGTTATCTGATTATTTTTTTAAACAAATATGTTTCGGGATTTGAAATTTTCATAGATGAATCTTTAATTTGATCTTCATCGGTCTTAAACTTAACTTTAAATAGCGTTGTCTTTGGAGGTTTTACATCTTAATCCCGAATCGAACGTAGTGATTTGTATTTGAATGTGAAGTAGTTATTGGTGAAATTAATGGATGATTTGATTCGATCTTGCTCCAAAATGACTTTGGACTAAAATAATGTTAGTTCAAAGTTTTTAATCCCTTTTCTTAAATTAAACACATTGATTTGATGAAAATTGGCGATAAACGACTTGAAGTTTTCTTTCAACATGATGAATCTACTTGAACACGACTTGATTGATTAATAGAGATGATTTCAATGCCTTTTTACTAGAAATTTTTCGCTTCAACTTGAACATATATGTGACCTTTTATTTGATGAAGATTGCCCCTATTTATTCTCCTATGGTAATTGGGTTATGATGATAGATGTGCTATTGTAGATCTAATAGGATCTAGTGGAGGGCTAGGTTTATTCTGGACATTAGAAGTGGAAGTGCTTCAGTTGATTTGCAGAGACTTTTATATAGCTATAGAATTTAAACTGCAGAATGAGAGGAGGACTTGGGGTATCTTTGTCTACATGAACTCAGACAAAGTTTTGAGGGAATCCCAGATGCAAATGCTTATTCAGGAAAAGAGCTTCTGGGGGGAAGAGTGGTTTGCTATGGGGGACTGGAATGACATCTGTTCTCAGAATGAAAAGAAAGGTGGTAGGAGGAGGAGTGCCAGCAGTTTTCTTGACTTCATGTTTATCTCTTGTATGGAAATGGAAGAAGTGAACATGTCTGGCTACCTATTCACTTGGGCAAATAATAGGGATGGTGATGGACATGTGGAGGAAAAACTAGACAAAGGGTTTGCATCCTCTGCCTGGTTGGACCTCAACCAAAATTCCTCGGTGCTGAACATCCTTAGAAGTGCATCAAATCACTCAATGATTCTTCTTGATAGTGGCAAGCTTAAACCCAAAATTCAGAGGAGGTTCAAATTTGATGGTAGGTGGTTGAAGAAGGAAGGTATCACAAAAGTTATTAGCCTAGCATGGGCCTAACCTCAGACTGGCACCCCATTCTTCATATTGAAAGAAAAAGTGAAGGAAACCAGACTTGCTCTTCTCAAATGGAGCTCTCAGTCGAATCTCAAAATAAAAGCAAAATTGAAGAATTCACTGCCAACATGGAGGACATTAGAGAAGAAGGAAGAGCTGACAACTGGGATGAATGGGAGAGAGTTAGACAAGAATTAGATGAGGCTCACAGATATGAGGAGCAATATTGGAAGTAGAGGGCTAAGATTCAATGGTGGAAGGAGGACAATGCTAACACTAAGTTCTTCCATGCATATATCAGGCTCAGAAGAAAGCAGAATTCCATATCCAGATTGCACACAAAGAATAATCAGTTGATTACAGAACAGGCTGATCTCGAGAGCCACATTTCAGACTACTTTAAGTCACTGTTTAGCCCAAAAGGCTCTTGGGGTGGAGATGCTCTCATCCACTTGATACTTAAAACCATCACTAAAGAAATGAGCCAGCAGTTGTTAAAACCAGTGGGTACGGAGGAGATTCATACTGCTCTGTTTAGCTTACCAGCTGAGAAGTCTCCTTGTGAAGATGGTATGAATTCCTTATTCTATCAACACTTTTTGATAATTATAAAATCTGATTTTATAACTGCAGTTCAAAGCTTTTTTGAGTTTGGTACCTTCTTGCAATACTGGAATCATACTCTAGTAACCTTGCTTCCTAAATGCAAATATCCAGACTTCCTTAGCCAGTATAGACCTATAAGCCTTTGTAGTGTGGTCTACAAAATCCTTTCAAAAATTTTGGCTCTCAGATTAAAATCCTGTCTTGATTGTTGCATCAGTGCTAGTCAGTCAGCCTTTTTGCAGGGTAGGCAACTCTTGGACAATGTGATCATAGCCCATGAGGCATATTACTTTCTGAGCAGACACGGAATTGGCAAAAATTGCTTTTGGCCATAAAGCTGGATTTGATGAGGGCATTTGACCGTGTTGAGTGGGGAAGTCTGCACAAAATTATGGTGAAAATGGGATTTGAGCTGCAGTTTATCGAACTTATTATGTCTTGCCTTTCATCTGCCACCTTTGCTTTTAATGTCAATGTAACAACAGGTGGCTTTGTTTGTCCTACCAGAGGAATTCGTCAGGGAGATCCACTTTCTCCTTACATATTTATCATAATTGCTGAAATGCTCTCTGCCATGGTTAAACAAGCAGTGGATAATGGTACACTGACAGGCTTAAGACTCTCTAGGGAGGGCCCCACTTTTTCACACTTACTGTTTGCAGATGATGCCCTATTCTGCTGTAAAGCAGGAATGGATCAAGCTCAAGTGCTCATTACAATTCTGGAGAAGTATAGGCTATTCACTGGACAGAAAGTTCATTTGGGAGAGTCTTCCATCATTTTTAGTAAGAATACTCCACAGTTGTTGCAACACAGTATCTACCAGAGCTTGCAAGGTATAAAACTTCACCAATCCAGCAGATATCTGGGACTCCCCTTGGGGATTTGGAAGTTGAAAAAGGAGGCTTTTGACTATGTGTTGGAGGCAGTTAGGGCAAAATTATCCAGCTGGAAGAACAAACTATTGGTTGTTGCAGGCAAAGAGGTGCTCATTAAGGCAGTCTTGAGTGCTTTGCCAATCTTCACAAGGGCCTGTTTCAAGATCCCTATCTCAGTGGCCATAGAAATTTCAAGATTATGTGCACAATTCTGGTGGTGTAGGGGTGATCAGCAAGAAAGGGGTCTGCATTGAAAATCATGGAACTCATTAACAATCCCAAAGAGTGAAGGTGGCTTGGGTTTTCTGGATGTGCAGCTATTTAATAAGGCCTTGATCTGTAAACAATTATGGATAATTACATCCAAACTTGATTTGCTTATGAGTCAAATTCTAAAAAGTAGGTACTTCCCTACAACATCTATCTTTGAGGCAAACAAATCCCAACATAATTCTTGGTTGTGGAACAGTTGGTTGTCAATTCTCCCTGAGTTTGCTAGAGGTTACAGAATTGAGGTTAGAAATGGGGCAAGCACAAGGATAGAAGAAACCAACTGGGTGCCAAACCTGGGAAAAATGAGACCTGCAATGCTGCCTCTTGCCATAGGTCACATGGTCTGGGTGAAAGATCTCTTTGATAACCATGGAGCTGGATGGAATGAATGGCTTGTCAAACAGTTATTTGGGGTAGAAGATAGCTCAGCCATTTTGAAAATCTCTACTCTAAATCCAGACAGACCTGACAGAAAGGTTTGGAGCTTGCACAACAAAGGAAAATTCACTGTCTCTTCCATTTACTATGATTTGATTTTCAAGAGGTGCAAGGACTAGATATTCCAGAGGGTAGCTGAAATTCCAAAGCCATCAAAGTAGTGAGAACAAAAACATGGAAGCTGAAAATTCACTTCAAAATCAAACACCTGCTATGGAAAAGCTGCTCAAGGGCACTGCCAGTCAAAACTGCACTAAAAATCAGAGGCATGGATATTGATGTCATTTGTCAAACCTGTGGTCATGAGCCTGAGACAGTAGAACATGTGTTCTTTCACTGCACCAAAGCCAGAAGACTGTGGGATATTGGCCCAGTTCAATGGGAAGAACTACAAGATCGAGGTGTTAACTTCTGTTCTTGGTGGAGACATATCTGCTCTTATGGTACGGATGAAGTTGTTGAAGCCAGGATCCAGCTCACCACCTACATGTTGTGGTGGTTGTGGCGTTCATGGAATCTTTGGTTGTTCGAAGGAACCTACCTGCCAGCTCCTTTTGTACTCAAAAGTGCAATAAGAGAATGGCAGGAGTTTTGCTCTTTGTAGTTTGCTTTGTTTTGGTTTGTTCCATTTTCCCTCTATTTTCTTTCCTGGTTTCTTTCAATTCTGGTTCTGTTGGACAGGGGCTTTAAACCTAGGCATCTTGCAGTGGTTTTATTTCCCTCTGTTTTGGTTAGTTTCCAGCTAGTAGTTTGATTTGTGTGTGATTTTGTCCAGTGATGGGCGTCTAGGCNAAAAAAAAATAGAGAGAGGGAGGGAGAAGAAGGAAGAAGAGATAGGGGGAGAGAGAAAGAAAAAAAAAAGAGAGAGGGAGAGAGAAGAGGGAAAAGAAGAGATAGATGGAGATATAAAGTCTACATTTACTTACGCTAATCAGTTAATTGCATACTTTAATTACTAGTATAAGTCCCGTGCAATGCACGGGTAAGAGATATTTATTGATATTTATAGTTAAAAATTCTGATTAAATTTACCAAAAAAAAAAATTCTTATTAAATAATATTTATAACTTTAAAATATGGAATCAATATGTAATACAATTTACTTATATTAATTTATTGAAAGTGTTATATAAAGTCTAAATTGTGCAAAATAACATAAAAATGTCTATTTAAAATTAGTATACAACCCGTGTGGTGCACATAACTGATAATAAATTACATTATATTCGTTTCAAAATAAGTCCCATTCCAAAATTTTGATTCAGAGAATCGATTTGACTATATGTGATTCCATAAAATAGTTATTTTGGTAAAATGTTATCATATATTTAACAGTCTATGTGAATAATAAGTATAAATATAAAATTTATATTGTTTCATTACTTCAAATAATTTATTATTGTATAAACTACTAAAATAAAAAAAAATTAAGTAGTTGAGTAATTTATTAAATTATAAATAATTGACTATTTTGTTTACGTCCAAGTTAATATTGACCCGTAAGTTATATAATTGACTATTTCGTTTACGTCCAAGTAAATATTGACCCGTAAGTTATGAATAATTATTTTTTATTTTTAAATTTAAATAAAAATCTTTTTATTTTTTTGTAATATATTATATACTAAATTTAAACCATGTAACTAATAAAGGTAATAGTTGTAAGTTTTGTCAATATATTATATTCCAAATTTAAATCATGCAACTAATAAAGACAATAGCCGCAATATCTGACCAAAATGATTCTGCACATTAATTAGGCGGGATTTTTTCAAAATTTGACAAAAAATATTACTCAAATAGTTTAGGCGAGAAACCAAATGTTATTTTACCTCTTTTTAATAAAAAGAGATTTAGATTAAAATAAGTTTATACGTGTGGAGTGAAAAACAATAAACATAAGTAAAAAGATCTCTATATGATTTGTATAATGGTGAACCGTTGGCTTTTTATTTATATGTATATAAAAAGATGTACATTCTAAATAATTAAGTTTAGTTATCGCGAAATCCTCTTCATCGTTTTTAGGGTAGATTTATTATATTTATATGGATAATATATCCAGCATAATTGTATTTAAAGATAATAAATCGATGAAAACATAATATGGAATATATACCTTTATCATTAGTCTCGACCAATTTGATTACTTTGTCTGTATAACTTTGAAATGAACTCTTTACAATGTATTTGTTTTTTTAATTATTATTTAAGTTGTATATATTGCATAACTATATGTTAAAAAAATAATATTTTTCTATTGAAATATACGATTTATATATATGTGTATAAAAACTTATAAATTAATTTTTCAATAAAGATTAAATTTTGTATTTTTATTTTTTATTATAGCATTCCCATTTAAAAAATTGTTACCATGATTAGTGTAAAAAGTTTAACAAAATAATTGTCACATGTAAAAAGATTAATAAAAAAATAAGGCTTTCATGATAATGGATTTGTATATAACTAAATCATCTTCTCTTGCAATACCGCAACATCCGTCCGCAGAAACGTGTTCATAAGTGAAGAATTAACTCAAAAATTGAATTTAACCAAATAAATTACAAACTCATTTCCTTTTTTCACGGCTAATTATCTTAAACAGTTACTCATTTGATGGATGATACCATAATTTAAACTCGGCTTGATTACCTAAAAAACAGGAAATAAAAAACAGATCGGTAGACATATGAAAATGTGATTTGTAGATAGGTGAGTTTAGTCAAACAAAATCTTTTATATATATATATATATATATCTATACAAATGAAATCCAAATCCCAAAAAAACTGAAAATGTGCATGTATGGAATAAAAACAATTCAAATACCTGCATGAAAAAATTTCACATTAAACTTTAGGGGAAAAACAACTTTTAAGCGGGAAATTGAAATATTTTTTCAAACATTTTTTCTTCTCTGTATTTTATAGTAATAGATTAATTTTTTATATATTTAGTATTTTGCAATTAATGTTATGCATATGGTAATTTTGCAATAAAAAGTGATATGTAAGTGTAATTTTCTCATATATTTTCGGACGCCTAATCGCAATTTAACACTCCGTGTTGAAATGGAATTTCTCCTAATTCTAGCGTCAGGAGTTGAATGCAATTAAATTGGCAGTGACGGGTTTGCGCTGTTGTTGAGTCAGTTTTTGTCGAGAGATGGAGAAAGAGAGAATGGCGATTCCTTCTTCTTGGGTAGTCAGAGACAATGGATCCCTCTTTAAGAGCTGCAATTTATCTTCCAAATACAAAACCAAATTCAGATCCAAATCCTCCCTCTTAAACAGCTGCAATCTATCTGCCAAATACAAAACCAAATCGAGATTCAAATCGAGATCCAAATCCTCCCTCTTAAACAGCTGCACTGATATATCTGCCAAATCCAAAACCAATTTCAAAACCAAATCGAAATCCAAATATTCAGACAGTAGCAAAGCTCTTGGCAACGCCGAATCGAAATTGATCAAATCCGCTAATGCTCAACCCAAGTGCATGTTCCTGTTGAGGCAGGAACATAAGGAAACCCACGATTACTGTGTAATCTCAACCGAAGGCAACTCTTTCAGAGTACTAGACGAGGATGATGATGATCTTCCTCGCAACTTATTGCCTCTATTGACAGCTGAAAACTCCAGTATCCCTTGGAGTCATAAGTCCTATGTCGTTCTTGAAAGTTGCGGCTCATTGATTTTGTTGCTATTTAAGCCAATTCATTCCAAGCCACAGTATCTTGTGTGGGACATGGAGATGGATACGTGTAGATACCGTTTTCCACTCGTTTCCCCTGGAAGAGAGGATGAAGATCTGTGGGCTTGTGGCCTGGGGTTTGATCCTTCATCCGGACACTATAAGCTGGTCGTATGTTGGACGGACTACTTCGATAACGTGTACGCTGAGATGTTGTCCCTCGGAACTGGTTTGTGGAAGGCCGTTCATTATCCTTTTGACTTTTTTATATCCCCCACAAGGTTCCCCTCTATTCACATTAATGGCTTCTGCTATTGGATAGCTGCGGGGTTTCGGGATCGTTCTGTTGCTATTATGTCCTTCGACTTTGCTAGAGAAAGGTTTGGTGCTCTTATCCCTCTGCTCGAGGGGGAAAAGGTGATGAGTTTCTCCAACCTGAGTGTTGTCCTAGTCGAGTTTCAGGGGTCGCTCGCAGTTGTTTGTTGCAATTCCTCCAAGGACATTAATCCTTTTATTTTCGAGATTTGGGCTTGGAATGCGCGAGGCAGATTCTGGTCCCTTGTCTCCACATTCGATATCCCTGCAGCTGCTCATCCTCGTGCGGTGCTCAACCTCTACAACAATGATAAATTATTTTTTGAGGACTTCAAAGGTGACTTGCTGCTTTATGATCTAGCTACCAGACGGCAGGAGAATCTCGGGCGCACTTTTGATGGAAGGGATTTCTGGTTTTTCCCTTATGTCAAGATCTGTGTTGGTCCTTGTAGAAAGGGATAACAGATCTAGAGTAGAGATATTTTGGGGAAATTTTCATATATTCTTAGCTCAAAAAAGTAAGTACAGAAGTGAGGATATAAGGACCCTCAGCTCGTTTACATGACGAGGACAAAGTAGTCCTTTCACAATTAAAATGCAATAACAAAAAAAAAATAGAAAAAATAAAGCACGAGTCTCATAATAAGAAAATGCGACTAAAACATCAAAAAGGAAAACCATCATGCACAGCATGATCAATATGATGAAGAAATGATTATGTCAACACTCCCCCCTCAAGTGGGAATGGGTGAGTAAGCTCGCATTCCCAACTTGCGCAAGAAGAAATGAAAGTCACGTCCCCCAAGAGCTTTAGTGAAGAGATCCGCAGGCTGTGCTGAAGATGCAATGTGAGAAGGAGCAATGAAGCCCAGCTTTAAACATATCCCGCACCACATGACAATCGATGTCCAAGTGCTTGGTGCGTTCATGAAACACCGGGTTGGCGGTAATGTGCAAGGCTGCGTTGTTATCACACCACAAAGGAATTGGAAGAGAAAGGTGCAGATCAAAATCCTTAGCCAGATAAGAGAGCCATTTGAGTTCACAAACAGTGGTGGCCATGGAGCGGTATTCAGCCTCGGCCGAGGATCGAGAGACCGTTTTCTGCTTCTTGGTCTTCCAAGAGATCAATGCTTGGCCAAGGAAAACACAGTAGCCGATCAGAGATATCCTAGTTAAAGTGCAGCTGCCCCAGTCTGCATCACAAAAGGCCTCAAGGTGTGTGGAAGGTTGACTGGCATAGAATAACCCTAGAGAAGGACTGCCTTTAAGATATCTTACCAGATGAAGAGCAGAAGACCAATGAGCCTGAGTAGGAGAATGGACAAATTGGCTCAGTTGTTGGACAGCAAAGGAGATATCAGGTCGAGAGAGGTTAAGGTACAAGAGCCTCCCAATAAGTCTTCTGTAAAGTCCCTCATCTGCCAAAGAAGAACTCTGTTGAGAAGACAGATTAATGCCTTGTGGAAGTGGAGTGACCACAGGCTTAGAATCTGTTAATCCCAAATCATGAATAATGTCTTGAATGTATTTCCTTTGACTAAGGAAGAGTCCATTGCCTGTTCTAATCAACTCAAGCCCCAAAAAAAACTTTGCAATCCCAAGATCTTTGATAGTAAACAACTTGTGCAAATAAGATTTCAAGGCAATAATATCTGTAGTATGAGTACCTGTGATCATCACATCATCAACATAAATCAGCAAACCCAAGAAGCTGTGATCTCTTTGTTTGATAAAGAGACAATGGTCATTGACAGATTGGACAAAACCATAGGAAATCAGTTTATCAGAGAACTCAATATTCCATTGCCTTGAAGCTTGTTTGAGCCCATACAAGCTTCTTTGTAATAAACACACTTGGTTTGGTTCAGCCTTGGTATATCCTTTTGGAGGTGACATATACACTTCTTCCTCCAAATATCCATGGAGGAAAGCATTATTAATATCAACATGATGGATCTCCCATTGTTTCTGAGTTGCTAGGGCAAGGAGGAATCTAACAGACACCATCTTAGCCACAGGTGAAAAACTCTCAAAAAAATCAATCCCCTCCTTCTGTAAATATCCCTTGGCAACTAACCTTGCCTTATACTTGTCTATAGTTCCATCTGGGTTTCTCTTAATTTTGAAAACCCATTTGGACCCTATGGCCTTCTTCCCTGGTGGTAGGGAAGTCAAAGTCCAAGTATTGTTCAGCTCCAAAGCTTCAAGTTCCTTGTTCATGGCATCAATCCATTTTGCTTGTTGTGCAGCCTGCTCATAAAATAGTGGTTCACTTTCTGTTTTCCCAACCTGAGTGAAAAAGGTATGAGCTGCCCTTTCAACCTTCTCATCAACAATCACCAAATCTGTCACATAATCTGACAACCATGCTAGTGGTTTCCTGTGTCTTGGAACTCTTACTGACTTAGAAGAGGATTTTTCTTCAGAAGGCTCAATTGGATCATTGGTTTCAACTTCTTCAATTTCTGAATGACCATTATATGGCACTGGCAGTGGTACAGAATAGTCATCAATCTCACATTTATGAAAAGGAAATTGTGTTTCATGGAAGATAACATCTCTGGAAATGAAGACCTCATCAGTATCAAGATCAAGCACTCTGAAACCTTTGACACCATTAACATATCCCAGGAACACACAAGATGAAGCCCTTGAATCAAATTTCTTCCTGTGTGGTATATTCCTCTTTGCATAGCATAAGCTCCCAAAAACTTTGAATCTGTCATAACTAGGAGCTTCTCCATGCAATAATTCATAAGGAGTTTTCCACTTCAGAACTTCACTAGGCAAGGAATTGATAATATGAACAGCTGCCAACAAAGTATAAGGCCAAAGGTCCCTCCTCAGTTTAGCCTGCAAATACAGTGATCTAGCCACTTCTAAAATACTCCTGTGTCTCCTTTCTACTACCCCATTCTGCTGTGGGGTGTAGGTACAAGATCTTTGGTGTATAACACCATTATCCTGTAATAAACTGAGCATCTCTTTGTTTGTGAATTCTGACCCATTGTCTGTTCTCATTTGCTTCACAGCCTTTCCAAACTGCACCTTAGTCATATTGAGGAAAAATTTGATGTGATTATGAGTCTCTCCTTTACTTTTCATAAGAAAAATCCAAGTGGCTCTTGTGAAATCATCAACTATGGTGAGCATATAAGAGGTGTTGGTGAGAGATGGCTCACTATATGGTCCCCAGACATCCACATGAATTAGATCAAATTTCTCAGCAGTTTTAATACAACTCAGTGGAAAAGAAAGCCTGCACTGTTTTGCTCTATGACAGGTATCACAAATGCCAGTTCTTGATTCTGACAGCTTGTCTTTAAGAAATCTATGTGTCTTAAACAAGATACAGAACTGTGGCCAAGTCTTTTATGCCATTGCTGAAGTTCCTTTTTATCTTTTTCTTCCCTTTTGACTGCACTGAAATTACAGTGTTCCTTACCCTTTATATACATTCCTTCAAATGCTTTCCCAAAGGCCACAGTGTTGTGTCCTTTATGGTCCTGCAATTGACACTCTCTGTTAGTGAACAAGAGTCTCACATCTCTGTCAGCAATGAGTTGTCCCACAGACAATAGATTGAACTTGAAATTAGGCACCAATAACACATTTCTCAATACAATGTTCCCAGCTATTCCAACTTCACCACTTTGATGCACTTTAAACTTCGATCCATCAGGTAAGTTCACAACAATAGGGCTAGTAAGAGAACATAAATTTCTCATCATCTCAGGACAAGAACAAATATGCCTAAAAGCACCAGTATCTATAATCCAGCTCTCCTTATCTAATTCACCTAACAAGGATAAGGCATAACCTTCTTTAAGAGTACCTGCATAATCCACAAAGTGTGAGAAAGAGTGTGTTTCTGCCTCCTGTTGTTTTGAAATGTATTTTGCAATTTCTCTTAGCAATGCACCCATGTTTTCTTGTGTTGTTTCCCCTTCCTGAGATCTACATTCCAGATCTTTCTTATCTGTTTCAGAACCTTCCACCATGTTAGCTGTGGAACTCAGCCTTCGCTGCTTCAAGTCCTTGTACCAATCCGGATATCCATGCAACTTAAAACAACTCTGCATGTCATGGCCATTAAAACCACAGTGTGAACAACATAGTTTTGCTTTCTCTTCTTTTGTCAATCTGTTGACTCCTCTTCCTCGACCAAAATTTCCAAAATTTTGTCCATATGTTTCCTTACCAATTCCTCTGCCAAAGAAAACAAGTTTATGACCACCTCTGCCTAAACCTTTAACCATCATGGCTGATGTTTCAAGAGGATCTGAGATCACATGATTCAACTTCTGTTTTTCAACTTTCAAAATCATGGAATAGGCCTTGTTAACCGTAGGTAGAGGGTCAAGCAACAAAATCTGATTCTTAACAGGCTCATACATTTCATTCAATCCCATCAGAAATTGCATCATTCTTCCTTCCATATCATTTTCATTCAAAGCCTTTCCAAATCCACACACGCATTCAGGCAGAGAAACTAGGCATGCATACTCGTCTCACAGACATTTCAATTTTGTATAATAAGATGTAACTGAGAGTGTACCTTGCACGAAATTAGCTATTTCCTTTTTCAGCTGATATTTCAACGGTCCGTTGCTTTCACCGAACCTGTCAGCTAGCTCATCCCACAGTTCCTTCGCGGTTTTCACATAGAGAAATGATTCAACTATATCTTTCGAAATTGAGTTCAGTATCCACGAAATAACCATATACTCAACCTTTTGGTACTGATCGTAATCGTCTGTGTTTTGTTCTGGTATGGTGACTGTGCCAAATATGAATCCAAGCTTGGATTTCGCTCCCAGCGCTAATTTCATCGCACGACTCCAGTGAAGGTAGTTCATACCTGTGAGCTGGTTTGTAACCAGAATCAATCCTGGATGATCGGATCCATGTAGAGATAATGGATCATTTTTGCGAGAGAAATTCCGAGTCATGATCTCACGCCCTTGCCTGCTTCGCTCATCATTGCCCGCCATTGACGATAATTTTCAACCTGCTCTAGATACCATGTAGAAAGGGATAACAGATCTAGAGTAGAGATATTTTGGGAAAATTTTCATATATTCTTAGCTCAAAAAAGTAAGTACAGAAGTGAGGATATAAGGACCCTCAGCTCGTTTTACATGACGAGGACAAAGTAGTCCTTTCACAATTAAAATGCAATAACAAAAAAAATAGAAAAAATAAAGCACGAGTCTCATAATAAGAAAATGCGACTAAAACATCAAAAAGGAAAACCATCATGCACAGCATGATCAATATGATGAAGAAATGATTATGTCAACAGTCCTAGCTCCAGCAATTAAGCTGCATCAAATTTAATTAGAGCTCATATTTATTGGTTTGGTGGCATCTTCTTTGTTTGAATGTTATGTTATGGTGTTATGTTGTTTGTGTGAATGGTACTGCTGCTGTGTTCGTTGTTGGTTTGCTCCAGCACCCTTTCTTTTTGCATTAGCGTTGTATTTTGTTTATAAATTTTAAATTTATTGTGATTGGAAGTTTTGTGGATGCAACTTTTGTCAAGCTAGCTCACAGAGAGTGGTCTGAGGCTGTTTGTTGTTCTTGAACTATCTGTTGTATTAGTTTTGTTTTTATTTATTGTGTTATCCATGGCTAGGTCCTTTCAGGTTCAGTGGCTTGGATTTATGTGTTGTTGTTAGTGGTTTTGGTTTGCTGTTTGTGTGTTAGGTTGTTCTGCAGACACAGGTTTCCATAACTTCTGTTATGCCCGCTGTTCTTGTTTGTGCTATTCTAGGCCACCGATTTGGAGTGGTTCTTTGGGTTGTCTTATGGCTAGTTTGCCATTCGGTTGTAAACTTCTACTTTTGTTTGAGTAATGTTATCGTTTGGGAAAAAAAAAAAAGTGTTGAATATAACTTTTTTTGGATTTGTTTGAATTTTTGGTTTGGTTTGGTCAATTTTAAAAAATATGGTATGGTTAGTTGTTAGTGGGTATATTAAAATAATATTAAAATAAAATAGTTAAAGTTAATTTGATGTAAAGTATGTGAGAGATGATTTGAAGTGATAGTTAGTTAAAATTATGTTAGTGGATGAATAGTGAATTAAAGTTGATGTGGTGTGTAAGAATGATTGATTGATAATATTTAATTATATTCATATTGATTATTGTAGAGTAGAGTTGAGTTAAAACTTAGTTAAAAAAAAAGTGGTTGTGTTAAAAATGATTGGATTTTTTTGGATAAATTTGTGTCCAAGCATCCTCTAGAACTTCCAGTTATCAAATTATTTATGTTTAGCCAGTGAAAAAATCTCTTTATTTTTTTTTTCCCAAAACGATAGATTATATTATAAATTAACATGCACAAATGTGCGAATACACAGCAGCCAACGGCTGAATACACAGCAGCCAACAACTGAAAAAGTGGGAGGACAGGTCAGAAGACCGCCTAGAGTCCCGACTAGCAACTCTAGAATAAAGCTCGCAACTAAACTAACTAACTAAACCAACTAAAACAACTCGAACAACTCGAACAACTAAAACAACTAAAACAATGCTAGAAAAAATCTCTTTATTAAACGAAATAAAGTGCATATAGCTTATAGACGCAGAGTTTCAAAATCTAAATGTTATTTCATAATTTTAATTGTTGATTTATGATGTTCCGTAATCATATGTATGTTGAACAAAGTAGTCCACATAAATGTTGGAATTATAATATATAGATTATAGACTATTATGAATTATAAATATTATGAATTATATATATATATAATATTAAAATCATGTAATAAATATGGACATATCACATTTTATAAATTTCATCATTATTAAATGAACATTATAAATACAATTATTTAAACATGTGAATCACTATATTGATTACACGAGATGTAATAGATAATATTATTTTTGTAATTTTGATGGATCATTACCCTACTAATTAGTTAAAAAGTATCAAAACAATTATTATTATTATTAATTATTATTATTTACTATTATTATTATTATTGTTATTATTATTATTATTATTATTATTATTATTATTTATTATATAATTTTGGAGTGATAAAAATAAATATTAATGGAAGGAGCAGAAAACACGGTCCCAGAAATCACCACCTTAATGTTTGTCCTTTAGCTAACCAAACATCATCTCCATATTTTCTGTTATTGTTTTGTAGCTATTGTTAGTTCATTGCACCATCTTTCATTTGGTTGCAAGAAACCAAATGTCATTAAAACTCATTTCTTTTTTCTATTTATTGATTTCTTACGGCAAATTCCCTCCTACGGCTGTTACGCTGTGAGCTGTGTGTATTTGTTGCCATCTCACTATAAATTAATTAGTACACATCTCTTGCTATGCATTAGAAAATAAGATTGAGATTGTATTTAAAAATATTAATTAAAAGTTATATCTATATTTATATATATACTAGTGCGTAGCCCGTGCGATGCACCGAAAAATAATATTACGATTATATTATAAATTAAATATATAATATTATTAATTATGAGGAAAATAATATTACCTATTGTTTTTAAATTAAACCAGGTTGGACACAGTCCGACCGGATGGATCGAGAACCGGGTTATAAACAGTGTAGTTCGCTTGAATAAAATATTTACTATTGAATCCGTCAACATCAGTCGGTTGGACTGGTAGGATCGTTACGATTTTCTAAATAAATTTTGTTACATTTAAAATTATTTTAAATAAAATTACATATTTAAATAAAATAGAGATTTATAAATTATTTATTAATTAGTTTTAACATTTGAATTTATAAATTGTTTAGATATTTAAATAACGCATTTCCTCAACGACACAGCACATTTTATCAAATGTTCCACGTTTCTAACCATATCCTCATAGGGCTGAAGCACAAGAAAGTATTAAAACATATTACAAAAAGTACTATATATATATATTGATATTAAAATGTTTATAAATTTAAATCTGAACAAACTACAAATAATTAAATAGAATAACTTCATCGTTTCGATGATGGTTCGATTCTGAAAACCATATTCACTGTACATTAATAAAAATTATAATACAATATTATTTTATTCACATAAATATAAATAAAATGATATATAAATATTCATTAATCATTAAACATGTTGTCATATAAACGTATTGTTAATATGATTATTTGAAGTGTGTGCTCGGGGTAGAAGTTTTGTATAAATGTATCGCCATGCTATTAAGTATTTTGATTTAAGTTCTTTTCTTTCTAAGAGGTGGAATAGAATAACCCGGTTGAAGCGTAATGATAATGAATTAATAAATAAATATTGTTGTCATATTCACATGGTAATTCTTATTAAAACTTGAGATGTATTAACAGACTTTGAAAAATGGTTAACATGCTGTTACATGTTGAAAAATTTATGAAAAAAGCCTCATCAATTGAAAAATCTTGTTAACATGTTGTCAATTTTTAATGAACAAAGCCTGTTACCATTTCAATTTTAAGTGAAAATCACGTATCTATATAACAAAGCATGTTAATCACTCTTTTAATGTATTGTTAATATGATTATTAGGAAAAAAAAAGTTACTAAGAATGGTAGGTAATTAATGTTGACTGAAATTTGACTTTCCATTTTTAAAAAATAGTAATTCTTATTATATATATATAGATATTGGAGCAACAAAACATTAAATTAAAGTATCCCGCATTTAATTATACTAGTACTCATCTCGTGCATTTGCAAAGAGGAGAATACTTAGAAAAGGAAATAATATAAACAAAAATACATTATCATAATTTACTTCATGAAAAAGAAATATGAATTCAGAAAATGATTCTAAATATTATTAAAAGCTTGTTTATATACAACATTCACGGATTCATATCGGAATCACCAACATCACATATCATTATCTTCAAACACTTCCGATTCGTGACTCTAGAAAGAGCAACGTACAAC